ACAACTTGTGCATGGAATCTTTTCACCATCTTTACATCTCTTTCTTCTACCTTTCTTTCCCCTGCATATAGAATAAACCAATGCTATGACCATCGTCTACTCCACCAAGAAGTAGAAACCCCTACTATAAGAGACGAAGGATAGATGATAGGGGGGCGGGATGTGCTCAAGGTGATCGAGGCAATGACGTCGCTTTATGTCGCACTCGCCCTCGGCCACGGCTCGGTTCGGTGGTGGCATGTCTTCACTCGCGAGCAGGTCATAGCAATCAACCGCCTCATCGTCTACTTCACCATCCTCTTCTTCACGTTCGAGTTCACCGACACTAATTTTTTAGTCTCATATATGTCTAGATGTGGCTCCATCTTAATTATTGTTTTGAAAACTATCTGAAAGTCCACTTTTGAGCCCCATAATATCGGGAGATAAGGCCTTCCACCATAGTAACTACAAGGAAAGAGAAAACAGGTATGGTATATTTGGTGCAGATTAGTGAAAAATTGGGACCTTTTGCTGGTCAAAACCCTTTAATGATATATAATCTATTTTGTTCAGTATCATTTGTCCATCCTAAAACATTGTGACTGATATAATTTAGCTCTTATCTTAGAATGAGTTTTGGGTCCTTTTCTTATTCTTTATTTATTGTAAACTGCTTTTTATTTCAACAAATACTATTGTCTATGTCAAGGAGTCCAGCAGTAGAGGCATGTGCCTCCACCACCTATTCAATGTGCTTTTGTATGATTCTAGTGTTCTGTTGTAATTTCTTCAGGATTTGAAAGTGTGTTGCATTTGCAGGATCCCAAGACAGAGAACAATCCCTCTCTTGGTCTTATTTCTACCTCATTTCAGGAGAGGGCTACCTTCATTTCCCATGCGAATACTGTCAGGCTTGCTAAAGATCATGGGGAGCTCAATCTGGCCCAGATATGTGGAACAATTGCATCTGACGAAAAGCTCCATGAGACTGCTTACACCAAGGTAGTGGAGAAATTGTTTGAGGTAGACCCACATTACACTGTTCTGGCATTTGCTGATATGATGAGAAAGAAGATCACAATGCCCGCTCATCTGATGTATGATGGTCGTGATGATAACCTTTTTGAGCACTTCTCAGCAGTTGCTCAACGGCTGGGTGTTTACACAGCCAGGGACTATACAGACATATTGGAGTTCCTTGTTACAAGGTGGAAGATCGGTGAGCTAGCAGGTCTCTCAAGGGAAGGAAATAAAGCCCAGGATTTTGTCTGCGCATTAGCTCCAAAGATTAGACAAGCTCGATGAAAGAGCTCATGGGAGTGCCAAGAAAGCACCTGCTATATCCTTCAGTTGGATCTATGACAGGGAAGTGCAGCTCTGAGCATCAAACAATATATTATGGTTGAGTTGTTTATGCAAGCAATCATCCTCTCTTTGCCATCAGTTTGCTATTCATAAATGAAGTTCCATGCTTTGTTTTTCTTCTGTTCAAGTATTGTATGAGTCATGATGGGGGCTGTAGATACTCTTCAAGCTATCATAAATATCATCTTATAAGCAGGTGCTTGATTAATGTCTGTTGTTTATCAGAGTATCATAAATATCATCTTATAAGCAAGTATTGTGTTTTTCTTTTTCATGGACAAGTTCTGTTGTTTAGCAGAGTTGTTGACCTCAGGAAATTCTGCTAGAATTTGTGCCATAGTCAGAAGCATCTCACTTTTCAATTGTTTGCTTTTGTTACATCAGTACCACAATGTGTTATGTAATTCTGTACAAGCATCTTAAATTACTGCAAACACATCAATTTCCAAAAGATTGCTTTGGTTTGATTGTCACTAGTTTGGTGCATTGATGAATTGTCTAATTAAAGCCACTGGTTGAGTCTTTTAAACATCTGGCTATTAGTGGTCTGAAGCTACTAACATCATTGCTATCTGTTATTCCTCTTTACTATTAAATCTTATTTAAATGCTATAGCTCTTGTAATAGTTATTGTCTTTTAACAGCCAGTTACTACAAGATTCATTCTTGACTATTTTATCAAGTTATGTGAGGTTTTGGATGGAGGGCAGACCTCCATTCCCACCAACTTGTTTTGGAAGAACTTACTGCAAGAAGTCAAAGGATATATTCTTACCCTGTATATGATGGTGACATGGATTGTGCAGATTCTTATTAATGTCCTTGGAAGTTATTATTGTTGGGAGTCAACATTACCTGTCATTAGTATGAGTTTTCTACTACATTCTATAACCTGAATCTTACAGAGGAATTATAAGTAGCTATATTTTTCTACTTGGATTGGAGGATCATAAAAAACTTGTTTGTCCATATTCTTGGAGTTCATTGCATGAAATGTTTCTGAAGTTTATAGGAGGAGATCTGAACTTACCTGATACATTGGTTATGAGAGGTTTACCATCATAGCCCAACTTCAGCAACCATTTAGTTTTCTGCAATCATCAGACTCTTTAGTTGTTGTCTGGTAGTCTAAGACATGCATTTCATAGGTAATGTTGCAAACTGGTTAAAATAATCCTGCTCTTCATTGAGTTCATCCTCCTTGGGCTATTTCCTTGATTAGCAAGCAAATTGCCATTATTGCTTCACCCTGCAGAGTAGCAGCAGAATGCATCTTTACTGTAAACAACAGGTTGAGTGGCCACTGATTATGTTTCTTAAAATGCTTCAAGAGATGGGAAATGCCTTGTATTCCAGCTTACCCCAATCATTTCTCATTTGGCTTCATGTCTTGTTAAGATTGAGATATCATAACATGAGATGTAATTTCCATTGTAAGTTCTTCTCAGTGCAACTCAGTTTGATTCTGTCTTTTCATTTACTTGCTCTGAGGAACATGCAAGATGTAACAAACACCAAAGAGGATTGTGATTTCATTACATGAGGTTCAATTTAGGCATGACCACTTGTACCTATGATAAGGTTCTTTGAGACTCCTCACATATACATACTGTAATGTCTCTTGAGGTTTTGCATTAGTTCCTTGATATCATCATAATATGGAAACAGGCAAAGTCATGAGAATGTTGATGTCCAACTAGTAAGGGACAAAAAGGTTTTGGGTTAAGACTAATCTGGGATGAAATCTGACTCATTAAAGGTAACCAGAAGTATGGAATCTCTTTTGCATGATCATATTAGATAAAATGTGATTGTTAAATCACAACCACATTAATAGAATAAGTTCCAGTTGTTTTACCTGCAAAACATCTGAAAATAAGTAATTAGTGCCCTGCCAAATATGTTAGGATATAAGAGCAGATAAATGCAAATACTGATACCCAATCTCAGAATGAACAGCATCTGTACCTTTTACTATCCACTAACATCAAGTTGCAACTTTTCAGTTTCTATTTTTTCCTCTTGCCCAAGTATTAGTTCTTTAATAAGAGTCTTCGATGTCTTGCAGGTACATGTATACTGTCATTTGGTGTTTTGTGGATCAATCAGTGGAACACTCACCCAATGCAACTTGCATCTGACATCTGGTAATGCAACATTTACCATATACTGGGCAGGAAATGTTTTCCGAATCTTTGTTCTCTGCTCTTCAAACATGTCAAGACCAGTTTACAACCATCCATGTTGGAATGCATAGTCACTTAATGCATCATCACTTGGCTTTTGTCAACACAGATTTCACCAAGTGGTGCTTGACATCCCCTACCTTTTGTTGTCTTCTAAGCAGCATCTGGATACCACTTACGCCACTAACCAAGTGGTCAACCTCATCTTCAGATAATTTTAGAAGTTTTCCTTGTTTGGCCATGACATGGAAAGAACAAGGGCTTGATGTTCAGTGAGTCAAATGGCAATTTGGAGGTACACCATGGAAGAAGCTCAGAGAGAGAGAGAGAGATGACATGAGAGCTGATGCCAACAGGTTTACCACTGAAGTAGGCAGAGGCAAATTGGTTATGACCACCTGACCTAAAAAGCTTTGGAAAGTGCAGGAGACAACAGTTTGCAGAAGTAAGTGCTTCTTTGATGCTGCAAGGAAAAGCGATCCATCACTGGGAGAATCATGACTGCGTCAGAACATACCATTAGAAATCTTGAGGTCATCTATGCTTGTATGACACTTTCATCGATTAGGGGAATATAGGTAGTGGAAACTTGTATTTTAGAAGGTAATTGTAGCTTATAGGAGATGTAATCATCTGTTCATGCAGGTGCATTAGGTCAGAAACTCTGGAGAAGGTTTTGATCGTGAAGAAGATGAATTAAGTTAGGTCAGTGACTTTTTCCTCCACACATTATTTCTTTTAAGATTTAGAAGATGAGGATTTGATTAATTGAGACAATAATAAAAGATATAATTGTATACACTCATTTAGACATTTTCTTTATAAATAAAAGATATGACTGTATACATTCTTTCTATAAATCAGGATTTAATTCATTGAGATATTCTTTCTATGAATAAAAGATATGATTGCATACCTCCTCGAGTTAGATCTATATGTATTCGTAAGTCGGACTAAGAAGTGACACATGGATCAAATAATTTCTCTAGCTAGTAGTATTTAAGAGTCCGACTAAGAATCAACACGTGGATCAAACAGTTTCATCCGATTCAATTTAAAATTATTTTTTAATTTTCAAATCAATTATTTTTTATTCATTTATCTTTGGTATTTCTCATATTTTTTTTATCGTCTTCCTTCTCGGTATATTAGTAGTATACGACTTATATGGATCCCTTGTATCGTTACCGAGCTTATAATAAGATTTAAGACTATGTTACCATGCTACTATCTATGAGCTGTGCCTTAAGAGTTCAGTGTTCCTAAATTGTTCCAAACTTAGTGGTGAATGCTGCAACCTTGATTTATTCTTTAAAGACAAATTTCTTATTCTAATGATGAACTCACAAAGGATGATAACATCTCTCACCTACAACTTGTGAACACCATAACTTGTGCATGGAATCTTTCCACCAACTTTACAACTTGAGAACACCATAACTAGTGCATGAACTCACAAAGGAACACCATCCCTGCTTATATAATTAAGCTAATGCCATGGCCATCATCTGCTCCACCAAGAAGCAGAAACCTGTGAGAGACGACCGAAAGATGATAGGGGGGCGGGATGTGATTAAGGTGATCGAAGCAATGACACCGCTCTATGTCGCAGTCGGCCTCGGCTACGGCTCGGTGCGATGGTGGCATGTCTTCACCCGCGAGCAGTGCGAGGCGATCAACCGCCTCGTCGTCTACTTCACCATCCCCTTCTTCACCTTTGAGTTCACCAGCCACATCGACCCTTTCACCATGAACTACCGCGTCATCGCTGCTGACGCCATCTCCAAGCTCCTCACCGTTGGCGTCCTGGCTGCATGGACCTGGTGCAGCAGCAGCTCCAAAAGCAGCTACAGCTGGGCCATCACCATCTTCTCACTCTCCCAGCTCACCAACACCTTGTTGGTGGGCGCGCCGCTGCTGGACGCCATGTACGGGAGATGGGCGCAGGACATCGTCGTGCAGCTCTCCGTGGTGCAGGGCATCGCGTGGATGGCGCTGCTCCTGTTCGCGCTCGAGATGAGGAAGGCAAGTGGTGCTGCCGGCTTTGCTCCGGCAGCTATCGTAGCTGGCGCTGGTGGCCAGGTGGTGGCACCTGAACCGCAACAAGCAACGGACGTGGAGTGCAACACCGACGTCGCTGCACGTCCTACGTTAGGATCACTGATGAAGACGGTGTGGCTCAAGCTCGCTCTCAATCCCAACATATACGCCAGCGTTCTCGGCGTCATTTGGGCTCTCATAGCAAACAGGTACAGAGCAGCCTCCTCTCCTCGACACACTAGTTCCGGTGATGACTGCTCCGTCTTTGCAGGTGGCACTTCGAGATGCCGCGAATCATGGAGGGATCGGTGTTGGTGATGTCCAAGGCCGGGACAGGGATGTCCATGTTCAGCATGGGTGAGACCATCAACGACTTCTAACCTGAGATCATAACTGGCTGCAGTGCTACAGTGGCGAACTCTTCATCCCTGTTTCCATGGTTGCAGGGTTGTTCATGGCTCTGCAAGACAAGATTGTCGCATGTGGGCAGAAGCTGAGCGCGTTCGGCATGCTTCTAAAGTTCATCGCAGGGCCGGCGGTTACGACGATCTGCGCCGTCGCCGTGGGACTTCGTGGTGACCTCCTGAGGGTGGCGATCATACAGGTAATGTGTTCTCCACTGTACACGTAGCATGAAACCCCATTTACGTCGCATTGTACTTCACATTTTGCAGGCTGCACTGCCTCAATCTATCTCCTCCTTCATCTTCGCAAGAGAATATGGATTGCATCCTGATGTGCTCAGCACCGCGTGAGTAATCCAAACAGAGATGTAGTTTCTCCATGTCAATGGTTATTTCTGATCAATCCATTTGTTGTTCTTCTGCAGAGTCATTTTTGGAACGCTTGTCTCCTTGTCGGTGCTGATAGCATACTATGAAGTTCTTGGTTTACTGAGCTAGTTCAGATTCAACTCATGTAATTTTCCTTTTGGCAAAGTCTGCAATTTTTGTTTTAGTTTTGCTTCACGTTTTGTATCTGATGATGGATGGTGACAAGTTTATAAGATCATAACATCATCTTTAGTCTGTCTATGAGTTGCTCAATCTTTTTGAGCCAACATATATCTTTGCTGCTCTTCTCATCTTCCAACACTATTTCTAACATGTATACGTGGAATCTCGAATTTTAATGATGAAATCAATTGATAAATTTATGATAGCATTTGAGTGATACGGGACTAATTTCATTCATCGAAAGATAAATCGATTGAAGCAGAAAGAATCAGACGTTAGGTCGGAGAGCATCACATGGATGATTGGTCAAGTTAGATGATTGGTTGACATACCAAAAGATAAATTTTATGCCGTGAGTTTAGGAATCGGGCCAAACTGATTGGACATTACGCAAAAAAGATCAGATGTTACGGGAAGTCAATATGCCGATGGATCGGGCAATACGTCGAAAGAAAGGATGATGCGCCGAAGGATCGGACGAAGTACTGGATGAACCAACAACATGTCGGGCCATATAGAATTCTAGTCTTGTAATCATTTAGGTCTTGATCGTTATAGTTAGATCTTAAATTGAGTTAGTTTTGAGTGTTATCATACTAACTCAATTAGGACCTATTGAGCCTGATCTAGGGCTGAGTTGGGCTCATTAGGAGGCTCATTTAGTAACCCACAATTAGGTCAAGCGGTGAAACTATCTATGAGCTAGAACATACGATGTGTACGTTTTCCGAAAGATCCGATAGTGGTATCGCTAGTGTCAGGTGGTACTACCACCCAGACTGGCGATAGCACCACCAGTACACAATCTCCCATGTTGTTAGGTGGTAGTACCGTCCAGAATGGGTGGTGGTACCACTAGTAGTTAATGTTGTAGGCGGTGGTACTACCAATAGTTAATATTATAGGTGATGGTACCATCAGGAACCTGAAAACCCGAAATAAGATTTTTTTTTTTTTGCTCTATTTTTGAAATCATTTGAAGCCTATAAACATCTCACTCATTTTTACTTGAGTTACCAATAAAAAGTTAATGAAAAAGCTACTGTAAAGTCTTAAAAAAGTATTAAGTGTCCCTCTCATATTCTTTAAAGTTTTGAGCTCGAGATGTGTGAGACTTGTAAAGTTCTTTTCTAAACCTGTGAAAAGGAGAAAGAGTTATAAAGAGGGTATTATTCTTTGCCCATTGAAGGAAGATCATTAGTAAACATCGATGACCTCGATAGAAGAAGAATCAGGAGTAAACAGAAGTCACGGTAACCGAACGACTATAAATTCGATGTGTATTTTCTCTTTGTTTTTCATTGCTATTGTCTTATGATATAATTGCTTATTATTCTTAAGTCGAGTACACTTTTAATATTGATTTTCATCAAAAAAAAAAATTTTAATCATAATTTTATAGAAGTATTAATTCACCCGGTATCGTTACGGTCCTAACAATATCTACCCAGTATCGTTAAAATCATAACAAGTTTTAAAAAAAAATTTAAAATCATAATTTTATAGAAGTATTAATTCACCTCTCATTTTCATTGCTCTGCAACTGTTGCAGGAAAATAATGTCTATGGATTGGTGATGATGTGTTAAAGATATAAATCATATTGTGTCTCCTAGACTTATACAGATCACACTTATAAAAATTATATGTCTGATTGAGTTAATACTATTAAGAATATAAATCAAATCATACAATATCTACACGTTTAAACTCAGCAGAAATGATATAATACAAAAAGTACATAGCTAGACAAGCCAAGAATCTGGACAAAGCATTCAAAGAATACAACTTTAATTGCACTGTGTCAGGCTTTGTTTTGCAAGAATCAGCCGAAAGCAATTTTACAGTCAGATCAGATACTCTGCTCGAGTGTATATGATTTAAAATGGTTCAATTGCTCCAATCAGATTTAAAATGGATCTGGTAGTGGAAGACATATGAGAAGAAATAAAGAATGATTTCTACTCTGAACAAAGGAATGACAACTGTTCTACATACAAAATGATAAGCTGAGGAGTTCTAGCAATCGAAAGTCTCCTTCCTGCATTGGTTTTGATCTCTGCAGACAAGAACTCGACAGTCCAAGTTGCTTCTGATTGACCTGTATCGATTGCATCCTCTTAAGAAATATCAAGGGTGTGCTCTTCGGAGACAACAGGTTGATTTCCACCGCTGCATGATATCACAGAACAGAAAATAGCAGATCCAAAAATGGATCTTCAGCTTCTGCTGAATTGCTTGAAACCAAGTCCAACTTCATCTTCTTGCTTGGCCCACTTGTGTTTGTGTCAAAGTTGTTTCACTTCAGCTATTCCATTAACCATGCGACTGATTGAAATCTTAGATCATCAATCTTAGGCCACTTAAACACTTTATTGGATAAGATGAGAAATTTTCTTAAAACTTGAATGCAAATAATGTCAAAAATGATAGAGATGGTTCTGTAAAGGACCAAAGAAAGAAAGATCCACCAAAACCCACCAATAGCTTACTTCTTAGTGCACAGTAATAGAATAAGATCATGAGAAGTCTTTTCCCAAACCTTTTAACTCCAAATACAATAAAAAAAAGCCAGATTTGTGTGAATGATGATACATCACTAACATGTTATTTAAAATTATTATTATCAGACTACTAGTTTGTGGTCATAAATCTTGATCATTATTGCTTTTGCTTCTAAGAAGAACTTGTTTGAACCAATATCTACTAAAAGCTACATTGGCACCCTTGGATAATTTCATCCTAGATAAAACTTAGTCATCATCTTCTTCCAAATGACAATTATTCTACCCTATTACTGAAACCTTAATTCTACAAAGAAAGACAATAAACAACAGCATTTTCACCTACACCAACTCTATGCTTCTCCCAAAAGTATTCACATCAATCTTCTTCATACTAGTTTATCCAATTTATCAACTTGAAGGAGCCTATCCAATTTCTTATTCCACAGCATAAGACATAATTTGAACTTTCATGGTATGTCAACCATGTTGATCATACATGAGTGCAACTGGGCACCAGCTGAAGGCACTATAAGTATCTTGACCAAATGCAACATTTTATAGTTTTATTACAGTGATTCAGCAGCAATATTAGACTAATATCTTAGACCTTGGCATGAGATTCCACCATTGATCTTTCACATTTTAATGTCTCAATCACCATGAACCAATTATGATGATTGAATTGCGTAGATGAATCATCAATATTAAACTGCTAGTTGGATGGACAAGAAGATGTTCTTTAGTGGAAGAGCCTCCTTTGGTAGAAATTCCTCTCCCAATGACAACTTACTTGATTAGATCAGCATTTTTGGAATGATTAATCCTAATATAATACAAAAAACCATAAGAAATTTTAAGGAAAGCCTTTTGGCTTACAAAATGTCATACAAAAGAAGAAAAAAAAAGAATGATGCAGCTCTTCTCCCATTGATAGAATGCCTTTTGAGCAGCTCTTTCTCTCATTAATGATGGGAAAGAGCACTTTCAATATCTCCCCCACTCCACAAGTAGTGAATGCTGCACATCTTTATTTATTCTTTGAAGACAATTCCTTACTCTAATTATGAATGAACTCCATAAAGGTTGACTGACATCTCTCTCACCTACAAAAGACCACAACTTGCATGGAATCTTTCCATCCCTATGTAGTAAGCCAATGCCATGGCCATCGTCTGCTTCACCAAGAAGCAGAAACCCCTACTGTGAGGGACGAAGGAAAGATGATAGAGGGGCGGGATGTGTTAAAGGTGATTGAGGCAATGACGCCGCTCTATGTCGCACTCGGCCTCGGCTACGGCTCGGTGCGGTGGTGGCACGTCTTCACCCGCGAGCAGTGCGAAGCGATCAACCGCCTCGTCGTCTATTTCGCCATCCCCTTCTTCACCTTCGATTTCACCAGCCACATCAACCCTTTCACCATGAACTACCGCGTCATCGCCGCCGACGCCATCTCCAAGCTCCTCACCGTGGCAGTACTGGCTGCATGGACCTGGTGCAGCAGCAGCGACAAGAGCAGCTACAGCTGGGCCATCACCATCTTCTCGCTCTCCCAGCTCAGCAACATCTTGGTGGTGGGCGCGCCGCTGCTGGACGCCATGTACGGACGTTGGGCGCAGGACATCATCGTGCAGCTGTCCGTGGTGCAGCTCATCGCGTGGATGGCGCTGCTCCTGTTCGCGCTCGAGATGAGGAAGGCAAGGGGTGCTGCCAGCTTTGCTCCGGCGACCGTCGTGGCCGGCGCTGGTGGCCAGATGGTGGCACCCGAACCGCAACAAGCAATGGACGTGGAGCGCAACGCCGACGTCGCTGCACGTCCTACGTTAGGATCACTGATGAAGACGGTGTGGCTCAAGCTCGTTATCAATCCCAACATATACGCCAGCGTTCTCGGCGTCATTTGGGCTCTCATAGCAAACAGGTACCGAGCAGCCTCCTCTCCTCGACACACTAGTTCTGCCGATGACTGCTCTGTCTTTGCAGGTGGCACTTCGAGATGCCGCGAATCATCGAGGGATCGGTGTTGGTGATGTCCAAGACCGGGACAGGGATGTCCATGTTCAGCATGGGTGAGACCATCAACGACTCCTAACCTGAGATCATAACCGGCTGCGGTGCTACAGAGGCGAACTCTTCATCCCTGTTTCCATGGTTGCAGGGTTGTTCATGGCTCTGCAAGACAAGATTGTCGCATGTGGCCCGAAGCTGAGCGCGTTCGGCATGGTTCTAAAGTTCATCGCGGGGCCGGCGGCTACGGCGATCTCCGCCGTCTCCGTGGGACTTCGTGGTGATCTCCTGAGGGTGGCGATCATACAGGTAATGTGTTCTCCACTCACTGTACACGTAGCATGAAACCCCATTTACGTCTCATTGTACTTAACATTTTGCAGGCTGCACTGCCTCAATCTATCTCCTCCTTCATCTTCGCAAGAGAGTATGGATTGCATCCTGGTGTGCTCAGCACCGCGTGAGCAATCCAAACAAAGCTGTAGTTTCTCCATGTCAATGGTTATTTCTGATCAATCCTTTTGTTGTTCTTCTGCAGAGTCATTTTTGGAACGCTCGTCTCATTGCCGGTGCTGATAGCATACTATGAAGTTCTTGGTTTACTGAGCTAGTTCGGATTGAACTCATGTAATTTTCCTTTTGCCAGATTCTGCAATCTTTGTTTTAGTTCTACTTCAGGTTTTGTATCTGATAATGGATGGTGAGAAGTTTACAAGATCATAACATCATCTTTAGTCTGTCCATGAGTTGCTCAATCTTTTTTTTGCCAACATTTATCTTTGCTGCTCTTCTCTATCTTCCAACACTATATCTAACCTGTATCTACCCACACCATGGAAGGAAGGTTCTGCAACTGTTTCAGGAAAATAATGCCTAAGATGGAAGGTCATGATGTGTTAAAGATATAAATCAGATTATGTCTCCTAGATTTAGGCAGATCACACTTATAAAAATTATATTTCTGATCGAATTAATACTATTAAGAATATAAATCAAATCATACAATATCTACATGTTTAAACTCAGAAGAAATGATATAATACAAAAGTGGATAGCTAGACAAGCCAAGAAGCTGGACAAAGAATTCAAAGAATACAACTTTAATTGCACAGTGTCAGGCTTTGCTTTGTAAGAATCAGCCGAAAGCAATTTTACAGTCAGATCAGATACTCTGCTCGAGTGTATATGATTTAAAATGGTTCAAGTGGTCCAATCAGATTTAAAATGGATCTGGTAGTGGAAGACATATGAGAAGAAATAAAGAATGATTTCTACTCTGAACAAAGGAATGAGTACTGTTCTACATACAAAATGATAAGCTGAGGAGTTCTAGCAAATGAAATTCTCCTTCCTGCATTGGTTTTGATCTCTGCAGACAAGGACACTAAAATCGTAAATCTCTAGTGAGTTGCCTGTATCATAATAATACATTATGTTTCATTGGAAGAAAAAAATTCCTACAGCTTGGTTGATCAAGATTGCCTACTAGCATCTGGTTCAGTTTTCTCGACAGTCGCAAGTTGCTTCCAATTGACCTGTATTGATTGCATCCTCTGAATAAATAGCAAGGGTGTGCTCTTCGGATGGCCACTTCATACCAAGACAGCACGGAGACAACACGTTGATTTCCACCGCTGCATGATATCACAGAACAGAACTCTCCACCCTTCCAGAAAATAGCAGATCCAAAAATGGATCTTCAGCTTCTGTTGAATTGCTTGAAACCAAGTCCAACTTCATCTTCTTGCTTGGCCCACTTGTGTTTGTGTCGGACGGGTTTGACCTTTTCACTGGAACAAATGCAACATTTCTTCTGGATTTAGTTTGAGGTTCCGGGGTTGTAGCACTGAGAAATGTATCTACTTTTGCAGCTAGTACTTCTTCAGCATCTGCCGAGGCGAACTTTACCGCTTCCAGAGTCCTTGCATCTTCAGAATTCACAGTGTTTCCTATGATGGCTACCGTCTCTGGTTGGTCTTTCGGTGGATGGGTGTCAGTTTCCATGGTAGGGGAGCATATATTTTCATGCTTGGTTGCTGAATTACACAAAAAAGATGGTCAAGAAATGAGCACCCGATATCATACAGCAGAATAAATCATATCTTAAGTTGCATTGCTGTGTTAAGATGTTCATAAATGCACAAAACAATTTTGCAATCAATTTATATGTTAACAGAGCCCTTTAACAAAACCAAAGTGCAAATAGTGATGGGAATTTTGAAAGTAAAACAATTTTGACATCAAATGCGAGGTACGCCTAATAGAGTTTAGGTGAAAGCTCATGTTCTATTTAATGACTGGAAGTGTGGGTTATGGCCCTTCTTTTGCAACTATGTAAGTATTGCAGCTCAACATGGAGGGCATTTTTCTTTCTGGGTGAGGAAAGTCTCGAAAGAATTCAAATCAAAAAGCTTGGTGCTGTGAAACGAGGTTCTAAATGCCGTGCCTGGTACCCATACCAGAACCTTTCCAGACTTATATGTGCTGAATGGTATAGCATGCTACACCTTGTATAGGAGTTACAGAAAACACGAAAAAAAAGTAACGGAATTTTGTATATGTTGTTAACAACCATTTGGTAAACGGGTACCAATATTTAAAACATCAAATTGGGAAAACAAACAATATCTCGCCAGGAGATGACACACTTATCTAGGGTAATGTATTCTACTATGTGGATGAGCATATAGACACACATCCATAAGTTAACAAGCACCAAACTGGATGCCTCAAGGTCCAATTTAGAAATATACTTCAAATCCTTGGGCATATTAGAAGAACCACTGATTAATTTTGTAAAGAAAAGATATCAGTTCAATAAAAATGATGGAACGACCTTCATCAAAAAGTTCGAAGGTTTCATACTGGACAGATGTTGTGAAGGGAACAGCACTTAGATCTTCATTCCTGTTCTCGATATTTCTATTTTCTGTTTTTTCAACCAAGAAAAATTTATCTTCTCTCCAGACACAATCTAACATAAGAACTCTCTCGGTTGAGGGATAATACTCCCTAAAAGCCTGTAATAAACCAAAATAGTAGACCTTAAGCCTAGGCACACACATTTGAAATTAGAAACTCAAGATATCATTTTTCGAGAGACAAGAAGCAAACCTCTATTCCATCCTGAAAAAGTTTTACAGATTGCCTTTCTTGAGAAAGAGATGAAACCTTATTATATATCAGAATGACATCGAGTAACATCTGTTACAGCATAAATAAGATGTATCAAATAGCTACCACGAAATGCAAGTAAAAGTATAGATCGAGCAAAAAGACAATAACGGCATGCTGTGTTTTTTAGATACTGCAGTGTTAGAATTTGGTGTAAAATAAATAACAAAAGCTTGAACTACTTCCAAGGATTGATAGCAACTGTCAGTTTAAAGAGTTGACAAACAACTTACACAGAGTGAGAATATGCAAATAGAAGCGGTCCTGGTGCAGTACCAAGAAGTTCTTGCTTCTATAATTAAGGAAAAAACTTATGCCAAAATTCTACGGTCACGAAATAAACACATTTTGTAAGACATGAATGTGCCAACATCATTTTAAGGTTGACACGACCAAGGTTTCAAAAACCAGTCAGAATTTATTTCTTATTTTTTATTTATTTTTTGTTGCTTGGTACTAGGCAGTACAGGAGGGTACATAGTCCTATATGTACTGTACCAGTCCAGTAGACCATGAAAACCTTGGACCTGACCACATTTTGCAACATATTTGAGAAACATCTAGGTTTTGACACGATATATGTGATATACAATTGAATAAAATAGAACCACTGAGCTGACTTGCTAAATCATTATTTGCAGTTAGAGATTACAGTTATGGGGGAAGAATGAGAACAAATTTGGATCTACAAATGGTAATGCTATGAGTGAAGTAGTCTGTATTTGTAAATAACAACTACATTTGCATTTCCAATTTGACTAATTTGAAAAAAACACTAACTTTAGCAATTAGATGTCAAGGTACTAAACTTGATTAGTCAAAGTCTGGTGCATTGTATGAACATCACTAGCAGTTATTAACAAAATACAAAAACTGAATCATATACTTTCAGCGTATCAACAAGTGGATAAATAATATCTGATTATACATTTAGTTTGGAAGAACAAAAGGCCACAACTTCAGAAAAAATTACCTGTTGAACTAGAACCCGGAGACGGGCAAGCAAAGAGAGTATAGTGATGCAAAATCCTGTGAAGAAGGACTTAGCAAGCAATAAAGATATCTGACTATCATGGAGATAAAGGAAAACATGTGATTTATTATTGAATCTGGTATACTAGAAGTTGGAAAATTATCAAAGGAATGTCTGCGACAATATCTAGCCATTTGCAGGAAAGAAGCAATGATCTTGTTGATATTCCCAAGCAAGGACCACAAAGTCAACTACATGATTATGAAATCATAATTTGGTAGAAACTGGCATACTGGATTATGAAATCATGCATTCTCAGGTCAGGAAACCAGATATTACAAATTTTTAGTCTATATGCAGATCAAAAGCAAGGAAAAAAAAATTTTCCAGACCACATCCAAAAAAAGTCATTCGAGTAAATATATACTCGGTGAGATGACATTCTAAAATCAGGGAGAATAGCGACTCTCCCATTTGAACTGAATAAACTAAAGGATTAACTCCAAAATATGTCATGCACACATGAGTATATACGCATGTTCCTACACACACAAAGATAGAAAGAGAGAGAGAGAGAGAGAGAGAGAGAGAGAGAGAGGAACTGATAAGATAGCACAGAGGGCTTTCTAGAGTTTCTAACATGTGGTATGCACGTAAAACAAGAATGAATTTTTATCAAAAATGAATTTGAAAAGGCTATGTATTCCTTGCAGTGTGTATGAAGATCAATTTTGATTTAACCAGCTAAACCATTATAATCTTTTTAAAGATTCATAATTAAGGATACGTAGCTGCCCTGAGTATTGGTTCGGTCATCTGCAGGAAATAAAATACGATTAGACAAATATCTGGCCAAGATTAGCATAAGTGTAGGATAAGAGGAGCTATTAGAGAAGAAATAGAAATTGCTAAATAAGTACTACAACTTCATTAAGAACACTGTGGATGTACTTGCAGGTAAAGTTTGCAATAGTATTTGGGGCTGAAAGCAAGAATGGTCATGTTGCACGCAGAGCACACACCCACTGTGGTCACTGCCCTTGCTGCATATGTGCCATTCACATGCCCTTAAATCCTGATTTTGTGTTAAATAGAAAGCAATGATCTATCATGCTGTTTCTCTTAATGGGTCACCCCCCATTTTGGGTACATGCAGTCACATGTAAATGCACTCTGATTTTACATGGTGCACTACAAGTAATTGTTAATACGCTGGCAAAAAATACAATTTTTATTATAAGAGAAGAAAAGTTACTTTCTTGTTACTATAGAGCAATGCTTAATTTTGCACAAAGCAACAGTAAACAAATCAATGTCAATGAAAGTCAAAATAATATAGAGATAGACTAAACAGACCTTGGATAATAATCGTGCAACGCCTAATAGTCGATCCTGACAGTTATGCTTTGAGCCAGAGCTATTTGACTTTGAACTGCAAGGCAGTAAAACCATCATCCAACCTACCATCATAAATATGACATCTAAAGTAGATGAGCAAACAACAGTTTTTCCAGTAATTATGAACCTCATACATAATTACAAACAAAGATGTCAAAGTTGTTTCACTTCAGCTATTCCATTAACCATGCGACTGATTGAAATCTTAGATCATCAATCTTAGGCCACTTAACACTTATATTGGATAAGATGAGAAATATTCTTAAAACTTGAATGCAAATAATGTCAAAAATGATAGAGATGCTTCCGTAATGGACCAAAAAAAGAAAGATCCACCGAAACCCACCAAAAACTTACTTCTTAATGCACAGTAATAGAATAAGATCATGAGAAGTCTTTTCCCAAAATTTTTAACTCCAAATACAATAATTAAAAGCCAGATTTGTGTGAAAGATGATACATGACTAACATGTTATTTAAAATTATTTTTTAATACTTAACAATGTAAGTCTTACTCTGTAATATTAACAACTTAAAACTACAATATTTTGAACTATCAGACCACTAGTTTGTGATCATAAAGCTTGATCAGTGTTGCTTTTGCTTCTAAGAAGAACGTGTTTGAACCAATATCTACTAAAAGCTACATTGTCACTAGGTGCCCTTGGAAATTCTCATCCTAGATAAAACTTAACTATTACCAGTCATCATCTTCTTCCAAATGACAATTATTCTACCCTATTACTGAAACCTTAATTCCACAAAGAAAGACGATAAACAACAGGATTTTCACTAAAAGCTACATTGTCACTAGGTGCCATTGGATAATTTCATCCTAGATAAAACTTACCTATTACCAGTCGTCTTCTTCTTCCAAATGACAATTATTCTACCCTATTACTGAAAACTTAATTCTACAAAGAAAGACGATAAACAACAGGATTTTCACTAAAATCTACATTGTCACTAGATGCCCTTGGATAATTCATCCTAGATAAAAATTACCGATTACCAGTCATCATCTTCTTCCAAATGACAATTATTCTACCCTATTACTGACACCTTAATTCTACAAAGAAAGATGATAAACAACAGAATTTCACCTCAACCAACTCTATGCTTCTCCCAAAAGTTTTCACATCAATCTTCTTCATACTAAATTATCCAATTTATCAACAGCTTCTAGTTGATTATATATATATATATATATATATATATATATATATATGATAAGACACATAAGGCAAAGTTCAAAGGAGGAGCATATCCAATTTCTTATTCCACAGCATAAGACATAATTTGAACTTCCATCGTATATCAACCATGTTGATCATATATGAGTGCAACTGGGCACCAGCTGAAGGTACTATAGTATCCTGACCAAATGCAACATTTTATAGTTTTATTTATATTTTTGACTGCACCAACTGCTATCAATACCATACCAATCAGTATATACTGGTCTGACAGTGATTCAGCAGCAATATTAGACCAATATCTTAGACCTTGGCACAAGATTCCACCATTGATTTTTTTAATGTCTCAATCACCATGAACCAATTGTGATGATTGAATTACGAAGATGACTCATCAATATTAAACTACTAGTTGGATGGACAAGATGTTCTTTAGTGGAAGAGTCTCCTTAGGTAGAAATTCCTCTCCCAACGACAACTTACTAGATTAGATCAGAATTTTTGGAATAATTAATCCTAATACAGTACAAACCATAAGATAATTTAAGGAAAGCCTTTTGGCTAACCAGAAGAAGCTATTCTTTCTTAACATAATAGCGCATTATGAACAAATAATCCAAGATACAAGTACCAAATACGACAAGTTTCAAAACTCCATGAAGTTCAAAATGTCATACAAAAGAAAAAAAAGAATGATGCAATGTTCGCAAGAATATACCGTGTGGGATAAAATGCCTTTTGAGCAGCTCTTCTTCCATTGATGATGGGAAAGAGCACTTTCAAGATCTCCCCCAGTCCAGCAGACTGAAGAAGCTTCACATCACGTCTCACCTACCATCAAGCAATGCATCGAACAAAAAAAGGATCAGTTTAAACAAAACAAAAGAAACATATTATCAGAATGTATCGATGATGAATGTCAAAAAAGAAGGGAAAAAACAAGATCAAGAGAAGAATTTGAGAACCTTCAAAAGGTACTGGAAGTAGGAACTGCGACGATGTTGATTCTTGTTCTTATAGACCATTCGATCAAGGACCCCAGCCTCGACTTGAAATTGGACGAGAAGATGCTGAAGCCTCTCCTCAAGCTTTGAGATTTCGTGATTCGTCATAGTCAAATCCAAACAAACCTAACTAAACGGACGAGAGTGAAGAAATCAGGATGGTGGAATTCCATTGGAAATTAAAAGAATGGAGATCTGTCCTACTGTCAATTAGAAGTGCAAGTTGTGCTTTCGAGTATATTCAAAAATTCATAGTGACCATCAACCTGGTTCAGCTTCCATTCATGCAGCATATCCAAATAACTAATACTATATAGAGATCAAGACTTCGATATACTTGCACATGTAACAAGTAGGACTAACACCAATCAATAATACAATGAATTGTAAATTTTCTACAGATGATTCCAGTATATCCAAAAAGAAGAAATAAAAAAGAGGTGACAAAGGATGCGAGTATTTAGATTAGTGATGCCAGAAGAACCAGAGGATGATGATCGAAGATTTTGTTAAAACCATTAAGAAATGGCTATAGATGACATCCATACATTGATAGACTTAAAGATTTCTTTTTGACGCACACATTGTCAAACGAAATTTTGAAGGATGTCTGTTGGTGGCGCTAAAAAATATAGCTAAAATCCATTGGTTGATAGACTTTAACGACACATGAGAGAGATAGAGAGCGTGTGTGTGTGTACTGTGTGCTGCCTTTGGATAGGCAGGCAAGGAGAGGAGAGCGGAGGAGTGAGGAAGAGAGGGAAAATAGGAGAGGGGAGGACATGAGAGAGAGAGAGAGAGAGAGAGAGAGAGAGAGAGAGAGAGAGAGAGAGAGAGAGAGAGGACAGTTGAGATCAGGAGGGGAGGAGAGGAGAGAAGAGTACCGGTACCAGGGAAGAGACGGTTCGGCCTGCAGCGAAGCGATGAAGCGGCGGCGGAAGGGCACGGCCGGCAGCGGCCGGAGAGATCGCGAAGAGGCTAGGGCGTCCTCGCCGCGGTTTTCGACCTTTTAAGCCTATACGGTAAACCCGAGTCGACCGATCTTATCGAGTCGACGCGCGAGTCGATCCGAGTTCCTTCAGAAGCCGGTTCGATGACCGAGCCGACTCACCAGTCCTGAACTGGAATATAATTGTGTATACTACGAGAAGTGACACCCATACGGCCCCGTATACTTGTAGTATACGGTCAAAACAAGGCATTTTGTGCCCACTGTAACATATCAGCCTCGCCAATCGGACCGTCAATCATGTTAACGTAGCAAATCTCAACCGTCCAAGTGGATACTACAGCAGTCGTCCATCGACTTGGTTCCGCAGGGCGCGCACTCGAAACGTCGCCCTCCTCGGCGTACCGTTGCTGGTCTCCGGACAAACACGGGGGGAGGGAACTTGGAGAGATCGAAACCCTGAGGAAGATTTTGGGAGCGAGGGTCGATCGAGGGATGTCGGGCGCAGGGCAAGAGGAGGACAAGAAGCCAGCGGATCAGTCGGCGCACATCAATCTCAAGGTCAAGTCACAGGTCTGATTTCTCATCCTCCTTCCCCCCCCTTTACCATTCTCCCATTTTCCGGCAATAATTGGATACTCTGTTGGTTATGTTCTTCCTATTAGTTACATTTGGTTCAGATCTTTTGAGTTTCTTTGGCTAATTTTGCTCATTTATTGAAGGTGTTTAAGATAGATTTGAAATCTTTGCCCAAAAATGAATTTTTTGGGGGGTATTTGGAATTGTGGTTGTTCCCTTTTTAAATTACTTGCACATTAATCTCTGGCATCGTACATGTGGTTGTGGATTAGCACTAATCCAGTAGCTAATAGAACTAGGCACGCCAAGTAGTGAATTTTGTTAATTAGAGGTTGTTGTGCACCTTGTAGCTGAGTAAATTATCTAGGTCAGGAAATGAATGCCATTGATTAGGGATTCTTATCCAGGAACCTTGCATCAGATGTTATGCTTGCTAAGTTGATGCCAAGAGATCTAACTTTATGATGTTGTTTCAAAGTTCATGTCAAACTAGAAATTGATGAAATTATCTGGGACATGTATTAGATGCATTGTTAGTAATAATCTATTTTAGTTTTGTGGCATTTATGGTACATTGTTTGGGTGCCCACATTTATGAATACAAGATAGAGGAGTTCTCGTTGATGGTGGCTTGGTTCTCACGTTTTCCATCATCTGAAAGTATTATACAGTATTTTCGAAAGGCGCTCAGGTAAGGCGAGGCTTGAGCGCCTTGCAAAACCTGCGGACGAGACATTTTGATGAACTGCTTCCCGAGCTCTCTCCCAAGGCATCCAACCGCCCGAGTGAAGATGGGTTTGGGTTCATGCCTGGTTCAATTAAACAAGCAAGTTGGTTCAATCAAACCAATTAATCTGCAGTAACACAAAACCCCCCTCTTACCCCTGAGCTTGGCCTAGTTTATCTTCAAAGTGAAATCCTACATCCATCATCATGGCCTTCATCTGCAACTCCATTCGTCGTCGTCGCCTTTGTCCTCATCTCCATCTACCACCGTCACCTTCATTCGTAGCTCCCTCCGTCATCGCCTTCGTTTGCAACTTCCTCTACAATTGTTGCCTTTGTCCGTAGCTTCCTCTACCACTACCACCTTTGTCCGCAACTTCCTTTTCCACTACCACGTTCATCCGCAGCTTTCTTCGCCGTCGCTACCTTCGTCCATAGCTTCCTCCACTATTGTTGCCTTCATTCGCAGCTTCATCCGTCGCCCTCTCCTTCCTCACCTTTCAACATATATTTTTTTATATTTTAATATTATGGAGCATCTCGCTTTGATCAGGTGAGCTCCTAAACGAGTGCCTAGCACCTCGTGGGTTTTGGGACCTTGGCACTAAAACCATGCTAAATCATGGTAGGCTGATATCATATTTGTCATATAGTATGATTTTTCGGATGTTAAATAATGCTGCAATCAGTCTTGTACTAATTTTGTGTTCTTGTGTTCCAAAGGATGGAAATGAGGTCTTCTTCAGGATCAAGCGCAGCACTCAGCTGCGGAAGCTCATGAGTGCCTACTGTGATCGTCAATCAATGGACTTCAACGCGATTGCTTTTTTGTTTGATGGCCGTAGACTGAGGGGCGAGCAGTCTCCTGATGAAGTAACTGACCATTTTGTTTTGTCATTATATTGTTACTACTAAGGGCAATCTGATCTCAAGCATTTTATCTCTGTATCTTGCAGCTTGAAATGGAGGATGGGGATGAGATTGATGCCATGTTGCACCAAACTGGAGGTGGTCGGCCAAGCACATAGAGATAATTCTAGTTCTATGTTGGCTTAGAACCTTGTAATTAGAGTAGCAGCTAGTGGAGTCAGTGGTCAAGAACTGTAGGTTATGAACTCATATTTTTGGGTGACATTATCTTTGGGCCTTTGATGTGTGTGTGTGGAATGTTCACTTTCAATTCTCTGTTCATGGTAGTTCTGTTTTGTCATATGAAATCCATTTGGTTGAAATGAGAATTTAATGTTAATTGATTGGCCTTAATGGATTGAGTGTTTTGAATATATAGGATATCCTTCATTTAGAATAGCTCCAGAGGCATGTCAATCACAGATTAAGAAATGATTTCAGATGGAGAGCATTGATGAGAAATTAACATGGCAGCAGAGCATGCAAAGCTTTATATACATTGATTTCACAGAATCTTGACAGACTTTTATGTGGTTTCAGTCTATCCAAACTTCAATGCTAACAGAGAGGACAATTTAATGAGATTCATTAGCCATGCTTCTTTTTCCAAAAAGAAAAGTAAGAACTATGAGCCATGGTTGGTGCTGGTTCTGATGAAGCAGCAGTGGCCAGACTTTTGTTGGAGCTGTTGAAGCTTCAATGCATTGCCAAAGCATCTGCTGCAGTAGCTGTCCACTGTAACCATTTCAGCTTTCTTTTCCCCAGTCCACAGCACTTTCATGGTGCTCATTAAATAGATGGCCATCAGCATTCATCAGGTACCATTCGAAATTGTTGTTGATGATCTGATGGATGTATTTTTGTTAATATGTATTTTTTCTTCATAATATTTTGTTTAGGTAAATTGCTTTTTGCATTTGTATCTAATCAAAATCTTCCTATATAATCAAAGCACAAATTCATGCATGTCAATCAGATTACTGCACATTGTTACTACATTTCAGCAGGTATTCCAATGCAATTAACATTTCATAATCAAGAAAAACCCATAATCACATCATTGTGAATCAATATTTGAAGGAAATCTTACTCATTGAGCAGCATTAGTTGCAACTGAAGGATACAACTAATCCCAAGATTCCCAAAACCCTTATCATACAAGCTAATTGGGATATATAAAGAAACAAATTTCAGATAGGTCTGATGAACATCTGCAGTCATAAGTAGACAAGAGGAATCCAATGCTATCACTTTTCAGACAATCAATAAAGAGACTACTCAGCCAGAGGGAGAAAAAATTCTGAAGCATCACAAAAATCCTCAATCAAGAGAAACAAAAAACAACCCCTTATCAACAAGCATAAGCCAAGATTAGCAGAGTAATACAAGTTTAGTTGTGCAACAAATGATAACAGATACACTTAATTGATTTTCTGAGATGGCAGCTGGAAAGATTTAGATTTTGAGATGGGTTTAGTGGCTCAGTTGGATCTCTCCAGAATGATGCAGGAGAGAAGCAAAAATACAATGACATGAGCTTGAAGCTCAAACCCCCTAATACAGGCATAGATCAAATAGGATCACATGCCATTCAACTACTGAAGAATAATTATGTCCTTCCAATCTCTTGTAAATTTCTGGTTAGGCCTTTTGGACATCAAAGCAGCCATAAATCTTTCAGTATCACAATCAGTAATCAGGCATTTAGATGTTAATAATCACTAGGAGTAATTTCAAGCTCAGGCAACCATATGATCAGTTCAGCACTGTACATGTGACTGTTGATGTATATAATAATTTTGTCATCATTGGTATTTAGCTCTCTCAAAAATCAAAATTCAATGCTAAGTCACTAATATTTTTTTTTCGAAAGCATGCATTATGGGGGTTATCAATTAAGGTTAATTGTTTCATGAGAAAAGAATTAGAAGTCAGAATGTACAGAAATAATGAATCACTTAAAAGATCACCAGAATCAAACAATTAATTGGTATCAAATTATGACTGCTTGTGCAAAGAAAGAATGCAAATAGAAAGTAGCATTGGTCAAGATATCAAAGAAACTTTAATGTAGGGTTGCTCATTACTATCAGATATATAATGTTTTTTTCTCTCATTTTTGTCAATGTGTACTAATCCCAGGCTATGGAATTAATCCTAAATAAACTTTTCTGGGCACTCAACAACTACAATGTCAATTCACAAGCAATATGATATAACAACACAAATCAGAACAAATCTATAAGAAGATGCATGCATTTGCTTATGAACAAAGTCTGGATGGGGCCACTAGTGAGAAGGGCAATGAGATCTCTAGATGAGTATGACATGCACAGAAAGATGTAGTGCCAACAAGTTTTGATTAGATTGTTGTAAGGATGGACATAATTTAGTCCAATAGCATTAGATCTTTGGACTCTCTACCATCAGACAAGCTTAATTAGCAATGTTTATATCAATCACTCATCATATAAACATCATCATCACCAAAATTGTTCCCTTATCTTCTCACACACCACCAAAATCCAGCACTGATGACACTAAATTAGACATCCAACATCAGTTTAACAGCATCTTGTTGGACATCAATCTCCACAGTTGTTGTATCAGATGGAAAAATAATGCCAATTAATCACAAAAGAGGAGCCATTACCAGAGATATGGTGGTGGCGGCTGCGGCCGCCGGAGTTGGAGAACGGGAGGAGGCATTAGAAGATGTCGAGGATCTCAACGATGTAGGCATTGCAGAGGGGGCAGCTGCCGCGGCTGACCCACAGCTCACGCGAGCAGAGGCGGCAGAAGGTATGGCCGCAGGGGATGAACGCTGCCCCTTTGTGCCGCACCATGCACACGCAGCACATGTACAGCATCACCCCTCCGCCGCCCTCCCTCTCGTCCGCTGCCACCTCTTTCTCCGGCGGCGCCGCTGCGAATAAGGATAACCTTTCCCTCCCGCTGCCTCCCCATTGCCTGTCCGTTTGCTCCAGTAACGCCAAGAGGGACACTCTCGCTGGCTGCTCCTCCTCCTCCTCCGCCGCCGCCGCCGGCACAGCAGCTGGTGCGGATGACTCAGCGGTGCCGCCGGGATCGGAGTTTTCACTGCCATTTATTTCGTCGCTTCCTCCTCCGCTGACTGAGGGTAGTTCAGTTGCCGCGGCGGTCGCTGACGCGGCGGTGGGTTCTGGGACGGCAAGCTCGGAACTCCGAACGGAGACGACGAGCTCGGCGTCCGAGATTGGGTGTAAGTGGCCAGCGGACGCCGACGCCCAGGCTACGCCGTCGATGTGGAGGCGGAGGCGGTCCCTTAACGACATCCAGTGGGCTTCGTTGCTCGAGTTCCCGTCCGCCATGATCCCACTTGCCTCGTGCTCCTGATGGATGATGTCGAGCAGTGTCCTTCCGCTGCCGCCGGAGGTGGCAGATCCCTCCCTATTCTCGCACGCGATAATCGATTCCAGAGTCACCGAATCGCCGCCCCGGCGGCGGCAGATGCGCATGTCGTCTTCCTCCCGGACCTTGAGCAGGTCCCCGAGATTGGACGAGTGGACGACAGACAGCCGCTCCGAGAGCGTCACACCTCGCCGCAACTCCCTTCCCTCCATTCCCAAGATGCAATCTTTATCACAAAATCCTCCAAAACAAGAAAAGAAATCGATCTCCAAGCAATGATTTCCGGCAAAGCACCGCAAATCTACAACAGAAAGCCAGCGACCGAGCTCGAGAACCGGGAATCGAGATGCCTGGATCTATGAAAAATGCATGTTTGCCGATTCAGTCCACGCGCGAAGATTCCCAACATGGACGGAGCAGGCATCGGATTCTCTTCGCGGAAGCCAGAAAGATCCGCCTTTTGAACATCCGGCAAAAGAAAACGACGACAACAGATATCAGGAAGGCGGACAGGAAGCGAAGAAGAGTCGAGGGCGAGAGGAAGATAATAAAAAGGATAGAAGCCGGAACCTCACCGATTGAAGTGAGAGAGAGAGAGAGGAGATGACGTATAAGAAAGATTCGTTTTGGGGATCGGCATCCGCCGATTCCAGAGCGCCTCCCCGTCTCTCCTGCTGTCGTCTTCTGCCTTCTCTTCGCTACCTCATTTGGTTTCACGCATCGTTCCAAATCCTGTGGCGACACGCAGGACGAAGACGCACGTCATCTCCCTTCCTCTTCCTGCGGGTGGTGGTGGTGGTGGTGGTGGTGGTGGTGGTGGTGGAGAGAGTGAGACTTGTCGGTGACAGCGGAATGCGTCTTCCGTCTGGCTTGTACCATTGCTCTCCCAAAATGACCAAAATAGCCTCATGCTGTAACACATGGCTCAGCCGACACGCTTACGTTTCCGTTATATAGTACCCGTTATTGTTCGTAACAGCCGATATATATGTTATAATACATGGAAATCATGATTCAGGTGAATAATGAACGGCTCAGATATGCTTGATTCAAAGCGATACAAAATGCACGAACACACAATAATATATACAGAGAGAGTGCTGCATAAGTTAGTGCATATCTTACGTTCTCAAAGTAGGGCTTGGATTGATAAGATATAATATATTAAGGAGGCAAGAAGTATCAGATGTGGATTGTTAATTATCCTATAATGGATTGCAACTTTTGTCAATGTTTCATATGATGATGGGTTACGTTTGCATGGTCTCTTTATTGTATGAAGGAAATTGGAGGATGATCTCATGATAGATCCTTTTGTGGCCCCATGTTTATGAATTTAAGTTATTATGCAAATCTTTGTAGTTAATATTCGTCATTTGGTGGGTATTTGTTGTTGAAATAATTGTATTATCTCTAGATTTCATTGATGTTATAGTAATTAAGTAGGTTTAGGAGGTACCAAGAATATTAATAGGAGAGATGGTCATATATAAATATGATTTGTAGAGATAAATATGTCACTTTCAAGTTTGGGAAATATATTTACTCATTTTTTTTCATTGAGGATAATTAAATAGGAGAGGTCCGATGTTGACGCGAGGACCACAAACAATCATGATTAGCTTTGTTGATATGGTGATGGTGGGAGCACATATGGAAGTGCAACTTTACCTTTGAATCGAAAGGGTATTCCAACGTCTTTTAATATCTTTCTTTCATAGATAGAAATGAACGAGGACTATAAATGATGTATAGTAATATAATGTTAAGAATATTATATATTTATATTTATAAAGTACATCATCAATTAATCTTTACTAGTTCGCTAAGGAGAAAGACCAATATCATCATTTATCTGTTTGTCCACGTGGGTAAGAGTCCAAGACAAATGATTATGGGCTTCCCTCTGATCGTCCATATAGACAAAAGATCAACGTCCTGTATACGATTAAAAAAGGCCATGACGTAATAGCGATGTTATAAGTCAAGGATAAAGGATTATTTCAAAAAATACAAAAATGATCAATATACGAAGACTACTTCGAAAAGCATAAAAGTGATCAATATATGAAGATCATCTTGGAAAGCACAAAAATGACTAACGTATGAAGATAACCTCGAAAAGTGTAAAAGTGATCGATATGTGAAGACCATTTTAGAAAACATAATAAGAAACACATCATGACGAGAAGCATAATACAAAATATGCCCGAGGTACGTGAGTTAAGAAAACTCAACTCTTGTTAGAAGAAACTCATTATGGCAGGAAATAAAAGATTAAATATATCTAAGACACGTGAGTCGAGAAAATTTGATTCACATAATAATAAACATATCGTGATGGAAGGCATAAGATAATGTGTTCGAGACATATGAATCGAAAAAACTTAACCCGCATTAAAAAAAAACCATGATGGAAGATATAAAATAAAATGTGCCTAAAGCACATGAGTCGAGAAATCATAGCTTGTGTTAAAAGAAATCCGCCACAACAATACGCATAAGACAAAATATGTCTGATGCGTATAAGTTAAGAAAACCCAACTTACATAAAAAAAAATCTATCGGAGGCACAAGATAAAATATACTCAAGATGTGTGAGTCAAGAAAACTCAACTTACATCAAAAGAAACCTATAATAGCGGAAGACACAAGACAAAATGTGTCTTAGGTGCATGAGTCAAAAAAACTCGACCCGCATAACAAGAAACCTACCACGATACGAGGCATAAGATAAAATATTTTTAAGGTACATGAGTTAGGAAAACCCAACTCACGTAATAAGAAATCCATAATGACGAGAGACATAAGACAAAATGTGTTCAACGTATATGAGTTAGGAAAACTCAACTTGCATAATAAGAAACTCATCATAGTGGGAGGTACAAGACAAAATATGTTTGAGTCATATAAGTCGAGAGAGCCCAACCCTAATAAAAGAAAACCTATTATGGTGGGAGGTACAAGGCGAGATGTGCCTAATGCATATGAGTTGAAAAAATTCGACCTACATTAGACCACTATGATGGGAGATACAAGAGAAAGAATGCTTGAAGTAGGGAGGTAGAGTTTCAACCTCTCCTTTACTCAAGATGGGTAGGTCATTGCTTAATATAGTTCATCAACCTAGAGGCCCATAAATAAATAAATAAGACACGAGCACCTCATATAGAAATGGGGCCTCCGCATAATAAGAAAAGAGATGTGGACCCTACCTTCGTCCGAGGTGGAGAGGTCGAAAAACCCAACCCCTACCTTCGCTAAGGCATGAAGGTCGGGAAGCTCGACCCCCAACCTTCGCTAAAAGTGGAGAGGTCAGGAAACTTGATCCTTGCCTTCACCCCAAGGCAGAAAAGTTAGGAAACCCAACCCCCGCCTTTGTCGAGGCATGAAGGTCGGGGCTTCGCTAGAAGTATGGAGGTTGAGAAATCCGACACTCATCTTGAGGTGGGGAGGTCAAGAAACTTGACCCCACTTTTATTGAGGCATGAAGGTTGAATCTTCACTTGAGACATGGAGGTTAGTGACCTCATCCGACCAAGATATGTCCATCGATGATACAAAGTGTAAGTCAACGATATATTACCTCTAGTAGTGCTCAGGCATGATGAACTAGATGTGCCGGGCAAATTAGACGTGCCACTAGGTCGATAATGGATCAAAAGGATATAAGCTTGATGTGTCAAATGAACTAGATGCTACACTTTGGACCCCTCTCATGAGAGTCCCAAAGCATGCCTTGAGAGATGAGAGGTGCGAGACAAATGATAGAGAATATACCGTTAGCTAATCTTCATCCGAAACATGAAGTGTGTCGACGGTGAAAGAAGAAGACAAATGCTACCCTCTACTCATCTACCCACGTGGAAGAGTCTAAGGTAGGTGGGTATAGATTGCGCACCCCCCCTTATCGCTCATATAGACAAGAGGCCAAGTGGAGGCTATTGGAGGTGGCTAAAGGTTGCCTCCCTGTAAAATATTATGTTCATTTACGACTAAGTATAAAAGCTTATCTTCAACATAATGAAAAGAGATATTACCTTTTTAGTATACTTACGTTCACACTCATATACCTTAGATTACTTGGGGTATCAAAGAGATTGGGTCGAGAAACCTCTTTTTGACTTCGATCTTCGTGTAGATAATACATTACGAGTTTGATGTTTTCACCTTCAATAATCCCATACATATTTGTTTAGACAATGTCCGACTACAAGAGACAACAACTTTATATATATATATATATATATATATATATATATATATATATATATATATATATATATATATATATATAT